TGCAATCTCTTAAAGTGTCCCCGCTTGGATGATCCTGTGTATTAGGCTTAGTAATCAAAAGCAAAAATTTAAACAGGAGAGAGAGAGAGAGAGAGAGAGAGAGAGAGAGAGAGAGAGAGAGAGAGAGAGAGAGAGAGAGAGAGAGAGAAAAGAGCCAAAGTAATTATGCGAACTGTGGTGCTGCGTACAAGTCTGTGCAGTCTTTTTTCCTTTTTGGGAATAAGCAGCAGGCACACGTTTAAAATTTTTAGGCTGTCCTTTTGTGCCCAGTTCAGTTATGGGTTGCTTTTTAGAGTTCCCTTCTGTTAGCAGCTCTGTGGACCCCCTTCCACATTCGCGGATCACACCAACCCCAAAGATCGAGGAGTTTTCTGGATACAGACTTCCCCAGGTCCTCCAGCTCCTGCAGTGCACATTTCTCTCTCCTGCCTGGACCACAGACCTCACCTTATCCCAGGCGAAATCTGACCTTGCCCTGAGGGAGTGCAGAGCTCCTGTGAATTCGAGTGCTCACACCACTTGGGAATCACTGTTCTCAGGTTCACAGCTGTTTGGTGGATGCTGTGGTTGTAGATATTCAGGGTTCTGATAACATGCACTTTCCCCTTTAAGATGACACGGTTTGTGTCAGAGCTGGTCATTCTGGGAAGGAACTCAGCAGCAGTGGGGGCTGCCTAGTCTAGGGAATCCATCAGGCTATCCCCCACAGTTTCCTGGAGTATAAATGACCCTCAACTCACCAACAAACACTCCTTGTGCGAACATTCATTCTCCCTTTGTTCTCTCACTCACAAAAAATCTTTCATTATGCCTTCCTGTCGGCAGCCATCTTCCATCAATGTACTGTTACAATTTTTAACTGGTATGATAGTACACCTCTCACCAGGCAACACTTGGTTGTGTGGTTTCACGGAGCACTCCTTCCTCAGGACTTATTCACTTACTTGTTAGGAGAGAGGAACCAAAAGACAGAAAGGGGATGGAAACCTGTTTCTGAGCATCTTCCCTCCCACGCAGCCAGCTAAGGGAGCAATATTTTGTCCTTATGGTGACCTGCCCTTACCTTGCATCTATCCAGAGGCCTGTCAGAATTTCTTCATCACTACAAAAGACACTCTTATCACCCTTATAAATAATAAAATTCCAAGTATTTTTGTTGCTCAGTTCTAAGAACCAGGGAATAACACCAAATATCCTTCTATGATATCACATAGAGAGACTGAAGTATTTTGAGGTGAGATCACTTTCCTAGAGTCCCACAGCCTGCAGGTGGACTCAGACATGCCATGTATTGGCACATGGCATTTATGTTCCACCCCTTCCATGTTTCTTCCTATATCAGGTAGACTAAAAGGTTAAATAATCCAATTCCCTACTCCTTTAGGTTGAGAGTCCAGATGTGAATTAAACTCAGCCTCTGGGATGCACTTTGGTGTAATTTGGAAGCTGGAAAGGAGATGGTTCTCTTATTTCTCCTTCTTGTTGACTGATAGGAGGCTTCTTGCAGACACAGCTCATTCTTTACCTATGGGAGGGGGCTGTGTCAGCACGACCTTAAAACCCAACTTGCAGTGGCAACTCTTTAACTTCCATTTAACTAGCCCTTTAATAATTTTATAAGCCCCTAATTCTTTATGAGAAAGACATCAACGCAAATGTTTATGGAACATTTATCAGAGAGCATGTCTTTCTTTACAAGATAAACTCCACGAGTGCAGGGCCCACGTAATTCCTGCTCTCTGTGGCATTCCCAGGGCCCAGCCCTGGCCTGAAACACCACAGATACTCAGACAACAGTCATTCAATGGTTGAGGGAAACATATAATTGAAGCCTGTCAACCTGTGTGTCACTTACAGTCAGATCATGTTCCTTATCCACCTGAAGGCTTGGTCTTAGCCTGGGAGGAGGCCACAGCCTCTTTTTACATGGGGATGTCCCAGGGTCAGGTCTTTACCTCACTTACAGTCAGGAAAGGGTGACAGGAACCTCCTAACAGTGAGGGGTCAGGCCACTCTGATTTTATTGCCGAAAAATCACAACCCTCCCCAACCCTCATCTCTTCAGGGCCTGGAAAGCAGCCCATGTTCTTCTTTTTATCACAGATTCCTGACCTGGCAGACATTCTGGATTCTCCATCCAGGCAGGAGGGTACTCACCATCACCTCAAGGAAATTAAAGGATGACTCCCCTTCCCAAGATCCCTGGTCTGGATACAGCTGCCTATGGCCCTAAAGACATCTTACCAGCCCATGGTGTCCTGGGGAACAAGGGGTACTTCCTTAGCAGGATGGGAAAGGAGAACTTAGGATCTGGGCTTGTTTCCATTCAGAGGTGCTGAGGATCACACAGGGGCCTCCCCTTCTCTAATAGAGGGACCCACAGAGTCCCCTAGTGCACTCTCCATTTGGAGCTGGGCCCTGTGCGGAGGCCTAGAGCAGATGACAGACAGGGACACAGAGGACTGGATGCAACATCCCAATGCTGTGATGGGAAACACAGGAAATTTGGAGGGTCAATCATACAGGGCAGCACCCTCTCCCAAAAAAGCCCTCACCAGGCCCTGGCTTAAACCTGGTAGGCCCATCCTCCTGAAATAGCACATCCACCAGAGGGGCAGCTTTCTGGACAATGAACTCATAATACTCTGGACAAACCCAGTCCTCTCACTGGGCCCAGCCTGTCCTGGGATGCAGTCAGGAGGTATGAGACACACAGAAACCGAGCCCTGAATGTCTGGCTCTTAGTCTAGAGGTCAGAGCCCACCTCTGTTCAGTGCTCACAGTGAGCTCCCCCTTTCTGGAGCCTGGCCAGCATACCTAGTGCAGTACCTGACATTGCTTGCAGGTCTCCTTTTGCCTTATAGGGGGCGATATTGAGACGCACCTACAAAACACTGGAAATCCACACTTGAACTGGGCTTTGGCTAAGGAGGTGCAGAAGGAGACCAATTTTTATTCCCTGATTAATGGCTTTTTCTAGGCTCTTTCATCCTGCCTGTGCTGCCCCAACTGCTCTTTCTAGAAACTGAGAATGAAAAAGGTGCCATGCAAGAAACCTGACAAGCCCAGGGGCCACCATGGCAGGCCTGAGAAGTTCAGTGATGCACAGTGTGGTCTTATCACAAATGCCTAACTGGGCAGGTGATGGCAGGTAGTCATGTCCCAGGCCCACAGCTTCCTTAGCAAAGGTCAGACATTACGTTAAGTGAGCCCTCTTTCCCTGTTCTTACGCATCATTTATAACATACTTTGACATCACATACCTCTAGCAAATTTTCATTGCCAAACCCATTAAAGGCAGAACCTATGGGGCTAGAATACACGATCCCAGAGCGCTCTTGTTTCCTGGTTTCCTGCAAGCCTCTGTACCTGTGCTGCAAATGTTAACTATCTTGGACCCTCCAATGTAAAAATAATATGTTTCTCTATTTTGCTTTTTATTTATTTTTACAAACCTCCCTGCTATGCTTTCTCTCATTTTCCAATAGCTTTCATGCAACTTTTTTATTTCTCCTTTGATTAAAATGTACAAAATAAACTACAAAACTTCTGTTCTTCTCAGGATTTAAGATCTTGCTTCCAATCATATGTCATCAATTCAGCTGAAATACTCATAACAATCCTCCACAGGTTTGAACGTTTTTTACTGTTAGAGGGTGTAGGTGCAGCTGCTTTTTCAGGGATCTCTATGTTGATGCCCAACTCATAACTGGGACAATGCATGGGCAAGATGAGCTGACTTCAAAAAAGTCCCCCAGGCAAAGGACAGAGGCTGCCCAAATAGCCAGGGAGGACATGGACAGGGTCAACCAACAAAGAGAAGGAGTGTCTATTTGAAAACATTCCCCAAGGACCATGGAGCCCACAGCCACCTGAGCTCCCACCACAGTCCTCTCTTCCCAGAGCACACAGGACACCTTACCCTTCACACCTGGAAACTTCATGTCCTCCTGATACCTGTGGTGATGGGATCTCTGTCTCTGGAAACAATGGCCAGGCTGGTGACAACCTGAGATTAGAGAGAGGGTCCTTCTGCAGTCATCACCTAGTGTGAGCCATTCACACTGCCTTCAGATTGGAGGAAATCCCATCTTCCCAGCACATTTGAGAACATAGGAAAGACCTGGTGCCCAGCTGGATTTCTGCATCACAACCAGTTTTGGGCCTGTGAGGCTTTCTGTGTGGTTCTGACAGATCCAAGACCAAGATGAAGCAGGGACCAATGATGGTGTGAAGGGATCACCCAGTCAGGAGGACATGTGCCCTCAACAGCCTTGCTTGCAAGTGAGCTCCACAGGCCAGTAAGATTCTCATCCCCTGAGAGCTTTTCAGATGCAGTGTCTCTGGTCCACTGAATACTTGCTGAGTCAAAAATCTGCATTTTTAAGAGGATCAGGGCCCCCCATCTTCACATCATAGGGTCTCATTCTGGTATTCATGCAAGCAGGGCAGCTGCTGAAGCAGTCTTTCTAAAATATCACATGGGCATCCCAATTCTTACAAAGTTTCAAAGGAGATCCAATGTAGAGCTGGGGCATCCCTGTGACAATTTTCCTAAAGAGGGGGGGTGAGGGGAGGGGAAGAACTCTTCCTCTGAAGGGAACAGTCAAATGTGCACTGACAGGGAGCTGTGGAGAATGAACAGGAACTGGACACCCAAGGCAAGTGCTTTTCTGGGCATGTGTCTGTGCATGTGCGTGTTTGTGTTTGTATGTGTGTGTGTTGTCAAAAGCTTCAGCATTTGTCAGAGAACTAAAATACAGAAAAAAAGATAAAGGAGCAACAGAGTTGGCAAAAATGAGAGGAGGGAGAGGGACGGTCCTGAGCCCTGACCCCGCCCTGGCCCACATGATCAGGGAGGTTATCTTGTCCCAGGAGGAGACTCAGCACACAGGAATGAGGGAGGGCACATCTCACCAGTCTGGAGAGAGGTGCCTGGGAGCCTTATTAGACCTCGAGTTCTTCTCTCAGAGGGAGGGACAGAGCAGGCAGCAGTCATCATGGAGTTCCCTGCAGCCTCTGCCCACAGAGGACTTGTCCCCTGGCTGGGGCTCCTCCTGGCTGGTAAGGAGAGGAAAATCGCTGGGAATGGAAGGGAGGCTGGGAGGCAGAGAATGACCAAGATCTCCTGGGGAGGACAGCACTCTGGAAGGGGAGGAAGGGCTTCTCTTTGGACCAGAATGAAAGGACAGTGGCCCAGAGTCGGAAGAGACAGGGGGCTCAGCAACAGGAAAATCTCATGATGTGGAAGTGGTGAGGGGCAGGAAAATCTCAGTTGAGGTTCATTTGCTAAGTTATTCATCACAGAGTATTGGCAACTGACCACAGTAATAACAATTTATTTCAGGTGATAGCAGAAATATTTTAACCAGGGTGCTAAACATTGTTCTCAACACCACCAACAAATATAAAAATACAACATGGGACGTGGTCAAGCGTGGGTCATGCACCCACAGGTTTTTGAAGCCTATTGCAGGCATTGGAGTACAAGATCAGAAAATGCCCTTCCCATTTGCAGCTTACACTATACAGGAAGAAAATAGACAAGAAGAGATCTATTAATACTTGTGACATCAGGTACCCACAAGTGCCCTGAAGGGCACAGAGTGAGGACAGGTCATTGATTGCAGATAGAGGGTCTTTAGACGACGTCATAAGGGAAGGTCTTCCAAGAGGCTGCTGAGTGTCAACTGGGATGTGAGGGCAGTAAGGAGATCAGCCACACAGACATCTTGGAAAGAGAATACAAAACAAAAAGCTTAGTTTCTGAGGTGCTGAAGCAATGGTGACCATGTTGCTGACCTTGACCAAGAAGATGCACACACGAACTCACACACAGGCCCAGGCTGAGAGATGAAGACAAGTGCCTCATCTCTCCACCCCAATACATTGATAAAAATAATGATCAATTTCTCTCTTCCCTTCTAGTCTTCCCTTCCTGTCTTCCCATCTGGATCCCACCCACCACTGCGCAACTTTCTATTGTCTCAACCTTTGCTGCTGAAGGGCAGGATGTGATTCTACGTACCCGCAATAGTCCTCCTGGTGCTTCAGTCCTTATTTGGTACAGGGGAATGGAGATGAAGTACTCTAATTTAATTGGGTATATTCCATTGAATTTAAATCAATATATAACAGGGCCCAAATACAGTGGTCGAGAGACAGCAAAACTTGACGGATCCCTGATCATAAGAAAAGTCACTCCAAGCGATCTAGGACTCTACATGGTAGTAGCTGTCCTTCCAAAACATCAAAGCGCAATAGGATATGGATGGCTCAATGTATACCGTGAGTGATTGCTTTTTGAATTATAGTTTTCGGGAGGGGTGAATTCTACTTCACACACAGGACTGTCAGCCCTGAATTCTCCTCCATCCCCCTCTGCATTATGCCCCAAGCTGAGTTTGGGCATTTAGTGGAGGACACACACAGTGAAGACAAACTTCCTAAGGTCAGAGTTTCCTTCCCCGATTCCAGCTCCACAGATATTCATCACAGAGAGGACCAATTTGATGGGAGTGAGTCAGCAGAGGGAGACCAGTCTCAGTCCAGGTCCCTGGGCCCATTTCCCTGATCATATCCCTGAGATAGACTGAGCAGGACTCTGTAAGGATCTGGCCTGAGAGGCTCCCTGGATTCTTCACAGAGAAGCTCAGCTGGGACAGCCCCTCTCCAGGCTCCTGTCACAATGTCTAGCCTCCAGAGATCCTGGCGAGCCTGATTGTGTTTTTTCTCCTGGGAAGGGCTGAGTAAGAGCAACAGTTTCCCATGTGCCAGAGTCACAAGGTTCTTGAGCTGGTCACCAGATTGGGTTCAACCCTAAGAGTCATGTTGGGCAGAGATGGAGCCTGTGTGTGGAGAGCACAACTGGAGAAGCTCCACAGAATATTAGCTGACTGTTCTGGGGGGACGTAGGAGAACCCAGAGAAAGGTTAGTGTCCCAAGGGAGGAGCAGGAGTAAAGATTCTCCTGGCTGCTGCTCACCCACCAGGGATCATTCTAGGGGATTCTTTTGTGAAGTCCATCAATAACAAATTACTCTTTTTTGAGCAGTTTTCTTCCCAATATTTATGTTAGATATTGTAAATATTTTATGATTAGTCCATTGTCAGCCTGGCAGCAAAAGATTCATTTTACTTCATTTAGGGGAATGTGAGGCACAGGCAATTCATTCCCTAAGCAGAATCACGAAGACCATGAAGAATTGATCTGAATCACTTGAGGTCTATCTACAGCCATAGCCCCATCTTTTCCTCCAATCCCAGTGGCCTTATTAGATGCCTTTGGATACCTAGATCAATCATAGCCATCTCCAGCTCAGAGGGGTAGATTTAGTGTGGTGAGTAATGGAAAATTTAGAATTAATGAATTTTTGCAGTGTAACCAAATTACCCTCAGAACAATCAGAGTCAGGGCTCAAATATTTGAGGCAAGAGCATGGCCACAGGTCTCAAGCCCACAGTCAGTCATTGTCACCCTCTCTTTCTTCACAGGGCCAGTGAGTGTGCCCACATTGCTAGCCAGCAATAACACAGTCACAGAGAATGAAGATGCGGTGGTCATGACCTGCTACACAGATGAAAGCACCATCAACTGGTTATTCAATGCCGAGAGTCTGTTATTCAATGCGGAGAGAATGAAGCTATCCCAGGACCAGAGAACCCTCACCATAGACCCTATCAGGAGAGAGGATGCTGGGAACTACCAGTGTAAAGTCTCCAACCCCATCAGCTCCATTGAAAGTGCGCCTGTAGAGTTAGATGTCAAGTACCAGTGATCCACCTCCTTTCCCCTATGTTCTTAAACTAAGAAAAAAAAAAGTACCTATTAGATTTCTCGTGGTAGTGGAAATTGCTTAGAAGTCTTCCTTTGAATCAATAAATACTAAAAAAATGTGAGCTAGCATTGTCATTATTGTTGACATAAGGTAACATACCACATTGGATCCCATCTCTGGTTGGTCCCATTTGCACCATCTCCAAAATGGAGATGACACCATGTACTTCACAGGAATCTGAGCTCTCTCCCATTTCCAGGGAGACATGTGGAGGGTACTTGGACACTTGTGATGATGGGAATAGTCAAGAGAACACCTATGTAAGATGCAATCGTGACCTTTGTCTTTTCTCAAATTACTAATGCCCTCTGGAATATTCTTTCGGTTATGTCAATAGACTTATTTGTATAAGTTAAGTAGTACCCTGTCCTCTTTGTTGATAGAATAGAATTGGATACTTTGATAATATAAGCAAGGCATAGCAAATGTTCAAACTGATGCCTGTCTTATATAATAAAAGAGTAACGTGCAAATTGACCGTACATCTGCTACACCCACAAGCCACACCCACCAGCCAATCAGGATAAAATATGCAAATTAACTCAACCAAGTTGGCTGTGGACAGAGAACTGGAGGAAGCCTTGGGTTTCCCTGGGAATGGAGGAAGCCAAGCTTTCTGACTTCCCTTGCCAGCCTAGGGCTTCACTCAAGGCTACACAATTTCAATGATAGAAGATAAATAAATCCAAAGATGAATGGTGGCAGCCACGGAGTTGGAGAGAGCTGGAGGCAAGGGTTTTCCCCGGCGATGGACGAAACCAAGCTTCTGAAGCCCTGGTCTGCCTTGGCATCTGCTTAAGGCTACAAAGTTTCAATTTTAGAAGATATATAAATCCCAACAGAAATGGCAGCTGCCATGGAGCAAGCAGGAGGTTTGGCTCCACTTCAGGCTACAAAGTTTCAATTATAGGAAATAAATAAATACTAGATACCAGGGCCTCATCTTGGGTTGCTGGGAGCGTGGCTGGCCGGCAAACCACCACAGGCCCCTCATCTAGGCTGCCCCACATCCCAAGGGAACCCCCACCCTGATCCGGAACACCCTTCAGGGCAAACCAGGTGTCCCCCACCCATGCACCAGGCCTCTATCCTATCTAATAAAAGAGTAATATGCAGTTTGACCATCACTGCAATACACAATACGGCTGCCCCCATGTGGCCAAAGATCCTGCCCCATGTGGACACAAGATGGCCACCACAAGATGGCCAGCAGGGGAGGGCAGTTGACAGGGACCAGGCCTGCAAAGGAGGGCAGTTGGGGGTGATCAAGCCTGCAGGGCAGAGCAGTTAGCAGTGACCAGGCCAGCAGAAAAGGGAAGTTGGTGGGTCCCAGGCCTGCAATGGAGAGCAGTTGTTGGGGAGGAGGGGTGTGAGACCAGGCCTGCAGGGGAGGACAGTTAGGGGCAAACAGGCTAACATGGGAACAGTTAGGCATCAATCAGGTTGGCATGGTAGTGGTTAGGGGGTGATCAGGCTAGCAGGCAGAAGAGGTCAGGGGCAATCAGGAGGCAGGCAGGCAAGCAGTTGGGAGCCAGCAGACCTGAATTGTGAGAGGGCAGTTGGACATCTCTCAAGTGGTCCCAGATTGGAGAGGGTACAGGCTGGGTTGAAAGATACCCCCACTCTGTGTATGAATCTTGTGCCCTGGGCCACTAATAGAATTATAAATGGCCTCACCTTTTATGGACCTAATTTTGACCTGAAGACTTGAGACTTGTATGCTGTTTGAGAGTTGAGCTTCACCCAAAACTAGAGACTGCAGGTGCAGTGTGAGGGTGAGGCCGCCTAACCTCAAGTGCCTGTTTAATGTCCCATTTCAGTTTTCATAGAAAAACCTGCATCAGAGCAAACTATAAGGTGAAGGTCAGTTCATCTGCACTTAGGTAATTAATCAGGCCAAATTGAATGATATAAGCCATATATGTGATAAGATCCAAATACACTTCTTCCTTGGAGATGACGTTCGATCAAAGGGAAGGTGACTATAGAGGGAAATGCAATGTTTCCATGGAAAACTCTAGAAGCACAGCCTTCTGGGAGGTCAGATGCTAACTCTGTTCAGTCTCTCAGCTATTTTGCATCTATTTATAAATGGCTGGGAACTTGCACATTATAAATTGCAGGAATTGATGGCGATGCAAACAGGGCCTCTGGTCTTGGCTGAAAGGATGTAGTGTTTCCCTTTGGTGTGTAAAAAGTAGCTGTTATGCACCAGAGGCCCCAATTATTCCCTCAGAGTCTCAAACCTTCTTTCCTGACTAGGCCTCTTACCTCTATTTTTTTTGAGCATTTCCTTTAAAAATGTAACTGCAGCTTATAATTGCAGATTCTTTCTCTGTCCATTTGAAATTTACCTAGGTCTCCTTAAAAGCTTCTTGCCTCCTGGCTGGAGTGGCTCAGTGGTTGAGCATCAACCCAAGAACCAGATCATGGTTCAATTCCCAGTCAGGGTATATGCTTGGGTTTTAGGCTTGATCTCCAATAGGGGTGTGCAGGAACCAGCCAATCAATGATTCTCTTTCATTATTGATGTTTCTTTGTCTCTCCCCTTCTCCCTTCTTCTCTCTGAAATCAATAAAAGTGTATTTTTAAAAAACACAACTTCTTGCCAGTGATATGATTCATAGAATACCTGCCTTGAAGGTTTGGTTCCATTCTATTGTTCAGAGTTTAATTTGGGGTGATGAAAATGTTTTAGTACTAGGTAACATGGTGGTTGAACTCATTATGGCTATGTTGCCAGTGAAATGTTCACTTTGAAAGGATAATAACTTGTTATGAGAATTTCATAACATAAAAATCATTATGCTTACTGAAAGAAGCCCTACCTAAAGGAAAGTATATGATGTAATTCCATGAATATAACATTCTAGAAAATGCAAACTAATCTATTAAGTTAGACAGGCAGAGTAATTGCCTGATCAATGTGGGGTAGGGTGCAGAGAGAGGGTCTACAAAAGCACATGAGAAACTTTTGCACAACAGGGATTGTGTATGTGTGTCAGCATTCACCAGATTATACAGTTTACATATGTGTTGTTTATTGCATGTCACTTATACCACAGTCAAGCTGTAATCATGTCTTGATGTCATGAATTGCTTGTGTAGTTTGGGAGGGAAGAACCCCTTTATTCTGTTATTGTTGTTCCCAGGTGGGAAGACCCTGGATGTGCAATAATGACAACAGCTGGCCTTTCTTCAGCACACACTGTGTACTGGGCAGTTCATGTTTATAACTTCATTTAATCACACAAAGCAGTTTGACTCATTTATTTCCCTCGACTTTCCCACCTCCTGGCCTTTTCAATTGCTATGTCCTATGCCTGGACCTCTTACCCTTATTCCTATCCCCCTCCCTTCAGCTCTAGGTTAACTAATGGGCTCTCCCTTTATTAGTTGCCACTCTTCAGGAAAGTCTCCCTGGTCCTTCAGTCTAGGTTCAGAATCCCAGTTATGTGAGATCATGACGCTCCATATTTCACCCTTTCAACCATGATCACATGTGTAACTTCTTTACTCATTCTTTGCTCACCATTTGCTGACGCTGCTCTAAGGACTGGGGGTGCAGGTTTCAGAACAGACAAACTCTCAGTCATCATGGACATGGCATGCTGGTGGTAGAGTCGCCCAGTAACACACACAGCAACAACAGTAATATGTCATAGCATGGTTAGAGTGAAATAAGGCATGTGTGGGTGTTTTTATTTCTTTCCATTTAAAGATGATGGAGCAGCAAAAATGAGACAAGCTGGTTGGAGAAGATAGAGCTGGAGATGAGAGCAGATGGAATAAGAGAGGTAGGGGCCATAATCAGAAGTCCGGCTTTTCTATGAGTGACCTGAGGAGCCTCTGGAGGGCTCAGAGCCCAAATGGGAGGGGTGGCGGGTGAGTGATCTGTGTTTAGTGAAGGTATCCAAAATTTAGCCTTTCTGAAGTTCCTGTTTTGGGATATTGATTTCAAGCTTTTAAGAAACAAAACTCAGAAAGAACTTTTGACCCCTCTCCACACCTTCTAACTTTAACCCCAACCCTATCCCCAACCGTAACCCTAACTCCAACCCTCACCCTAACCCTAACCCTAAACCTAACCCTAACCCTAACTCTAACCCTAACTCTAACTCCCCTCCCCACACACACATTCCTGCCATACATTCAGATAGAAAAACTTGCTTCAGTAAAATAATCAGGATGTTCATCTTAGCCTACTTTTCCCTGCACCTGTGTGGCTACTGGGTGGAGGGCAAGGAGCCCAGTGAGGAGGCAAGTACAGTCATCCAGATGACAGGTGAGGGTGGTCAGACAAGTGTGGGAAGAAGGGGTCAGTTCCTGTATTTGTTGAAAGCATGGAATCAAGAGGATTTTCTGAAAGATTGGATGTGGGGTATACGAGAAAGAGATCCAGGAAAATTCTGGAGGTCAGAAGTTTGGCGAGGATCAAGGATCTTAGGGCATCTTGAAATGCCTTTTAGATATTAGTTGTCAAATAAATAGTTAGACATCAGCAATAATGTCCAATTTGTCTCTCTCATCCACTCTCATGGCTCTAGAACCCTGGAAAGTGATGGATAGATACATAGTAGGAGTACATTACATATTCCAAGAACCAACAAATGAGCAATCAGATCCTATCATGGATACTCATACATAATATTTTATAGTGACTGAAAAAATATAGGGATACCACAAAGTTACAATGCCTGTAGGGGCTCTTATGAACCCATTTGTTTTTGTAAGTCACATCAGGACCTTTCTCTAGAATTCATGCTATATGCATTTTGGAACTAAATTAAGTTGAACATGAAAGTGCATGGGCGATATTGAAGCCTAGCTCGCATCTCGGCAAGACTCCTACCCCAATTTGGCAACAATAGAGATGTGACTGGAGTCCTTCAGGCAAGCAAGAAGCTCACGTACTGGTCAAAATTAGGGACACGTACAAA